AGAGAACAGATCAGAACCAGAGCGACCCACTTCAGAGAAAACTATATGCTATACTATCTGATGCTATGCCTATAGCAGTCATACAAAGCTCTGAGGATCTGATTGCTTCATATACATTATTCAGTGTACTGTAGTAGGCGCCTGCAGCCCCACACACTAGAGCTTAAGATAACTTCAAAGAGGTTGGCTAATGTGCTCCAATGGCACATCTGAGCTGTTCTGTTCTGTGCTGTACATCTGCATTAGTCTCTCACAAGAAGCAGGCAACAGACATGTGAAGTATAACATGTACTCACCTGCATGAGGGTCTGGTAGAGCAGATCACAGCATGGTTGTAGAAACAGAGAGAGAGAGAGAGATATAAGGCAGCGTTATAACATCCAAGAGGGCATTGCAGACCAGTTGAGGGGGTGATAATACAATAATCTCCATGCTTAATTGTACCTCAGATTATAATCCTATTTTTGGCCTTCCAGTGTCTCATCATCTGACTCTAGAAGCCAGTAACGACATATCCATCCACAGTGTTTATGCAAGTAAAGTCATACTGTATAAAAAAAAAATCCAGACAGCTGTGATGGAAACAGGAAGTTTCAGTACAATTTATAAATGCCGACAGATGATTTGTTTGTTCGACATGGTGGGATCTTTTTGTGTCGGTAAAATTAATTATGTGAGAAATGGCTGTTGAAACGCCTTTATGCGCAAATATTGATATAATAACCATCATATCGAAGTAAACTTGGAGTCACACGATGACATGGTGTGTGGTCCTCTGACTACGACTTGGGAAACCATGCAGTTAGTTTATTAGGCTACAGATGAAATTAATTATGATGAACTTTACAGGGTGGTGAAAGTGCACGGTATGAGCTTGATGCCCCTTTCCAATAAATGTTGAGGGTTTTATTCCGGTGACATTATGATCGATACTTGACTGCTGTTTGACAACTAAAAATATTCTCACTCTTATCCATAATCTCATCATGTAAACTAGCCTACCCACACTGTATCTGCTAGCTGTTGGCTAGAGGGCATGTACCAAAACCACAGTAGGCACATTTTCTATTTATGAAAAATCTGGATGGAAACCTAGCTACTATCTCTGATATTTGAGCTCTTCTTTAAAATGACCAGCCCTATAAAAGCATAGGCTATATTTTACTTGTGATCAGATGCTGACATTTTCATAAACTACCACTTGCCAGTGGTGTTAGTTTGATGCTTGTGTTTAGAAGCACTGGTCTTCAGGGCATAACCAGATCAATGCATTCTGCCCTCTCCTGTTTGTCTGTCTGCAGACTACTGGCAGTGGCCTGGTGTGAGTGGGGTGTCCAGGGCCCCTTGCCTGGTGATCTGCAGGCGGATGGACAGATGGCTACTGATCCTTCTTGAGGTAAATTAGTATTGTTCCTGGGGCTCTGGACCCTGAGACTGAACCCTATAGTGTCTCATTCATATGGAGATCATGAGGAACTCAGGAAGTCCCGCTCAACAGGCCAGGGATTATTCATTCACAACCAGGAGAGGACTAGCCTGGTCCCAGATCTGTTTGTGCTGTCTTTCCTACGGTCATTGTTGTAGGAGTTGGCAGGACAGCACAAACAGATCTGGACAGACAGGACAGACTTCCTGAGTGTTGAGGAACTATTGCCTTATGTGTTTGGTTCCCACATTTGACATGTCGTGAAATGAAACGTTCTTAGTAAGAGCTCAACTAACATTATGCTCTTGAAATCAATTTTATTTTGATCTTTTTTCACAGCAAACTGACAGCAAACAGACAGGTACATTTGTCAGTAAATATAGCATGGCACAGGGGACCTGCATCTGAGACCAAAATGATCTGTGAAAACACTAAAATAACATCAGAGACACTATGACAGAGAGAACACACATTTCAAATATCAGCATTTTACCGGATTTAAAAAACACAGTTAGGGCCACAAATCCCAATGATTAGCTAGCCTAGCATATACCAATAGTGCTGAGCATTGTTATTTACAGTAGACAACACTGGGATTATTAGCCTCTTAAAACACTTAATTCCCGTCTGATTTAACAGTTAAATCAATGACTGGACTTTTCTGAGGGAGACTAATCAAACGCTCACCAGTTCCTAATCCCCCAGTCATAACAGAAGACACTCAGAGCCAGCTGGTGGACTCACTGGACTGGAGGGAGCTCTGATGTGTAAAGTGTGCCCTAAAACACAGCCAAACTCCCAGCCCAACCCCAGTTCAGACATGGACAACTCACAGAAGACTAGCCTAGCCCTAGTCCCCTACACCTCTCCCATCATTATCAAGCCATACGTGTATGGTGCATGGCAACGATAGAGGAGTCATGGCTATGCCACATACAGTGGGGAGAACAAGTATTTGATACACTGCCAATTTTGCAGGTTTTCCTACTTACAAAGCATGTAGAGGTCTGTAATTTTTATCATAGGTACACTTCAACTGTGAGAGACGGAATCTAAAAAATCCAGAAAATCACATTGTATGATTTTTAAGTAATTAATTTGCATTTTATTGCATGACATAAGTATTTGATACATCAGAAAAGCAGAACTTAATATTTGGTACAGAAACCTTTGTTTGCAATTACAGAGATCATTCGTTTCCTGTAGGTCTTGACCAGGTTTGCACACACTGCAGCAGGGATTTTGGTCCACTCCTCCATACAGACCTTCTTCAGATCCTTCAGGTTTCGGGGCTGTCGCTGGGCAATACGGACTTTCAGCTCCCTCCAAAGATTTTCTATTGGGTTCAGGTCTGGAGACTGGCTAGGCCACTCCAGGACCTTGAGATGCTTCTTATGGAGCCACTCCTTAGTTGCCCTGGCTGTGTGTTTCGGGTCGATGTCATGCTGGAAGACCCAGCCACGACCCATCTTCAATGCTCTTACTGAGGGAAGGAGGTTGTTGGCCAAGATCTCGCGATATTTGGCCCCATCCATCCTCCCCTCAATACGGTGCAGTCATCCTGTCCCCTTTGCAGAAAAGCATCCCCAAAGAATGATGTTTCCACCTCCATTCTTCACGGTTGGGATGGTGTTCTTGGGGTTGTACTCATCCTTCTTCTTCCTCCAAACACGGCGAGTGGAGTTTAGACCAAAAAGCTAAATGTTTGTCTCATCAGATTTACATTTACATTTACGTCATTTAGCAGACGCTCTTATCCAGAGCGACTTACAAATAGCTTCCTCCTCTGGATCATCCAGATGGTCATTGGCAAACTTCAGACGGGCCTGGACATGCGCTGGCTTGAGCAGGGGGACCTTGTGTGCGCTGCAGGATTTTAATCCATGACGGCGTAGTGTGTTACTAATGGTTTTCTTTGAGACTGTGGTCCCAGCTCTCTTCAGGTCATTGACCAGGTCCTGCCGTGTAGTTCTGGGCTGATCCCTCACCTTCCTCATGATCATTGATGCCCCACGAGGTGAGCTCTTGCATGGAGCCCCAGACCGAGGGTGATTGACCGTCATCTTGAACTTCTTCCATTTTCTAATAATTGCGCCAACAGTTGTTACCTTCTCACCAAGCTGCTTGCCTATAGTCCTGTAGCCCATCCAAGCCTTGTGCAGGTCTACAATTTTATCCCTGATGTCCTTACACAGCTCTATGGTCTTGGCCATTGTGGAGAGGTTGGAGTCTGTTTGATTGAGTGTGTGGACAGGTGTCTTTTATACAGGTAACAAGTTCAAACAGGTGCAGTTAATACAGGTAATGAGTGGAGAACAGGAGGGCTTCTTAAAGAAAAACTAACAGGTCTGTGAGAGCCGGAATTCTTACTGGTTGGTAGGTGATCAAATACTTATGTCATGCAATAAAATGCAAATTAATTACTTAAAAATCATACAATGTGATTTTCTGGATTTTTGTTTTAGATTCCGTCTCTCACAGTTGAAGTGTACCTATGATAAAAATGACAGACCTCTCTGCTTTGTAAGTAGGAAAACCTGCAAAATCATCAGTGTATCAAATACTTGTTCTCCCCACTGTACATTATGGCAGTATTTCCCAACTCCAGTCCTCCGGTACCCCCAACAGCACACATTTTTGTTGTAGTCCCAGATAAAGTCACCTGATTCAACTCATTGAGGGCTTGATGATTAGTTGACAAGTTGAATCAGGTGTGCTTATCCAAGGCTACAACAAAAATGTGTGCTTTTGGGGGTACTGAAGGACTGGAGTTGGGAGACACTAAAGTATGGGACCAGAGGGGTGTACTACAAATGAGGATCAATGAGTTAGCCAGCTAGCTTTGACAAGCAAACATAAAATAACTATTGATCTTCTGGTTCGTCATAAAAGCTAAACTTAGATATGTGTTCTTGTTTGTTGAATCAATTAGATCATGCCCATTTCAAGCTTACTTTTCAATTTTTAAAAAAGTTATATCAGAATATTTAGGCAAGTTAGCTGGCTAACTCCTTGATCCTGCTTTGTAGTATCCCCCCCCCCAGGCTAGCAAACTCAGTCCCAGACCCAGACCTGCCCAACTTCCAGAGGAAAGGGAGAAACGTGAAATAGCTGCTTGCTTACCCTCTGCTGTATAATGGCGTGCTTGTGTTCCATATCCCTCTTCTCCATGGCCGAATCAATCACCAACTGATCCAACTGGAAACAAGAAAAAAAAAAAAAAAACACGCTCAGATGAGGTTGGTCACATAGCTGAGATGTGTGAGTAGAGAAGAGGTTAAGCCAAGGAATATCCATGGAAGCGCTACATTTTAAGCATGGGCAATTCCAACATGAAAGCATAGCAGTCAGATTGAGTCAGAGTGATGCTCAGCAATTGACTACAACACTTTGAACTACCAGAGCCCAAAGGGCAATGACGTGTGAGAGGTCAATGTTTTGTAATGAAGCACTGACTCAGGTCTGTTTCACTATTCAGCATGCTGTACATGTATTCCACCTGACGCGATACCATGCTGATGAAGTCTTTGACTAACAGATAATGTCCCCAGTTTCACACAGCCAAATCAGAAGGCTAATGCACTATTATGTAAACAGACAGCACAGCAGTGGACAGAGCATCCATCGGTGACGCAACTCTGCCTGGGTCGATATTTTCAATCAGAACCAATCCAATACCAATCAGGACCCAGGGCTTAGGGGCTAACATGAGGATGGTGTGGGTGGTGGTGATGCTCACCTCAGCAGCCAGCTTCTTCATGTAGGGGTCAATCTCATCCAGCAGATTGTAGCCCTGCTGAAAGAGGGAGTACTGGGCGTGCATGAAGGACAGCATCTGCAGAGGAGAGAGAGACAGACAGGAGAATATAAGCAATACATTACTGGTATGTTTTTAAAAACAACAGGACACTCTACAGCACTGTACTCTATGGTGATGGATCGGACGTTAAACGCACTTACAGCATCTAGGATCTCAAACTTCTTCTTTGCTTGAAGGACGTTGATCTGCAGGAGGGGAAGAGGTGAGTAACTGTGAGTAATAATAGTGTATATTACAATGGCACCAGAATCAGTCTTATCTGATACTCCTGTGCATTGAAACATCTGTGCATTGAAACATTTCCATCAGTCTTATCTGATACTCCTGTGCATTGAAACATCTCCCTCTTGTGGACAATAGTTACATTTCACTGTTAGTACAGAGACCAACCACATACAACACTAGAGAGCTGCACTGCATGTGTCCGGCAGTCCTGCCTGTCTCTCAGTTTTTTGTATGTTCTGAACTAAATCGCATGAAATCAACATGATACTGTAATGACCTATATATGAACCAATCATGGTCATCATGTTGGCATTTTAGGGATAAAAAAACATCTTAAAGAATGTCTGAATCATGCAAACCTAAATGAGATATTGCACTACATTTGAGGTCACTAGAATAAATCTTCAGACACACCCGTGACCTTCTCTGCCTTCAGCCACTTTCAATTAAAACCAAACAGGGTCACACACAGACACACACACTCCAAATTAGAGCAGAGAGGACGTTAGTGCCGGCAGACACAATGCATAATGCAGACAGAGGGAGCCACAGCGATCACACCACATCAGTCACTCTGTTCCCAGAGGCAAATTTAGTAGCTGTCTAGAGACTGAGAGGAGACAACATGTGGGCATGCCGAGCTAAAACCATGCTGAGATACAATGTGTGAACTACAATTTCCTGACTCTGAAAACAATGCCCATATGAAGGGCACACTGACTGTACCACCATCTTAAAGGGTCCGCCAGTGAATTCACCAACCCTATTCCCTCTTGTGGGAATTCTATTATATTCTAGACCTACAGGATCCAAAGGGATCTTTCTGAGTCCATGTATGACTCTGGTTATGTTTTCTATCTCACCTGAAGTACGTAGTCGAGGGCCAGGTGTCTGAAGCACTTCCTGGTGATACTGAGTGTTCCGGTGGCCTCTTCCACCTCATGGGGTTTGTTCCTGGGAGCCTGGGCGTTCTTCACCTGGGCTATCTCCATGTCCTCACGCATGCGGTCAAAGTGCTTCTTGGTCTCCTTGAATTTACGGACATCCCTGAGAATGAGAAATTGGGGATGACAGTGAGATTGTGTTTAACAAGGGACACTTCATGTGATTCCTTTAGTTGTACCTGACCAGATAACAGGGGTAAGTGGAACACATGGTTGGGAATGACAATACTGTTTGTGGTTGACAGATTCACCAAGGAGTGGTATGTTGAATACATGGTTGAAAATCAAAATACTGTTTGTGGTTGGACCATTCACCAAGGATAATTAAGTTTGTTTGATAAGCGTGTTCCTTATTCTGCCCCCCAGTTCACCCCAGCTTTTCCTAGGAGGTTAAGACAGAAACAGGAGCAGGGCCATGACCCCTGACCTTTCCTAGGTAAAAGGCCCTGAGACTGGGGATAGTCTGCCTACTTCCCACCTATGATGTGGTCCACCAACACCATAAATCAGTAAAGCTTCTTTCCCCTCAGGTAGGTCCCAGTCCAAACAAGGAGGCAGTCGGGGCGTGAGAAATGGTCTCAAGCTACATAGTTATATAGGAGAGACAGCATGAGACAATGTTGTTTTAAACTTACTCTTTCACAAAGTTGTGCAGCTGCTGCTTCACAGATCTCTGGGCTTGATCGAACAGAATCTGAAACACAAAAGGAGCTTCCATTAGCATGTGTTGGTCACGAGTGTGGAGTCAGAGGTTTTGAGCATGTATGTAACTTATTTTGTGCCCACAAATGTAGATATTGAGAGGTTTCTGATTTTGCAGTGCTGTTGATCATCCTTCAGTAACATACAATCTCAACCAACAGGGGGCGATAAAGGACTGGATTTATAACATTAATTCTCAAATTAATTAAATGCAAATTGAGATCACCCTTTCCATGCATACAAATACTGTGAGACGAATAACACACATGTGCTCACGAACACACTCACATATGAGCACACACACTACACTACAAATCCTCTCCTTCTTTCAAAATCCCCCCTTTCCTCTCTTATTTGGAGGACATTCACAGTGATTGCGTATGCTTAAAAATAATCTGACGTTTTCTCATTTTTACAATCATAATAGTTCCTATAACCACAATTCAGCTTTCACATCAATACCATGCCACACTGTGGCTGCAGTAAAATAGGTAACTGGGACAGAGAGGGAGGGAGAGAGGGAGGGAGGAAGGGAGCAGGAGAGGGAGGGAGGAAGGGAGCGAGAGAGGGAGGGGAGAAAGGGAGGGAGATAATCTATACCACAGCTACAGAACAGTACATGGTGAAGACAGCAAATTGTTATTTTCTGGCTTTGCCCATAAAACAATTGAATTTGATGTCCGTGTTTAGCGATTAGCAGGGTTAGGTCAGAGGTAGGGTGGATGGTGGCCCATCCTCTCTCTGATTGATGGACAGAGTGATTGGTAGCTGGGAGATTGGCTGTGTCCGGATTAGAATGCAGATTTGGGATGAATTTTAGGAGACCATGTAAAGTGGATTGACCAAAGTAAAGCCTCCTTAACCACATACAGTATCTATAGCACATGCATTGAATACAGCATTGAGTGATCTTAGTACATGGAAAATAACATACCTGTGGATCAACATACAATTACAATGACCTCACAAGATAACTTTATTAAGAGCACATACGTCAGCATGGCAAACCTAACACCACCATAAGCCATGTCATTTTGATCAATTAAGACCAGAAGTTGTAACCACAATGCTACAGAGTACTGATGTAAATCACAAGGTATAAGCTGTGTATTTTCACTGTTAGTTTTATTACTCTATAAACTTCACTGGGTCCAAATAAGACGAGAAAGTGAGAGAAAGAGAGAGAATGAAAGAGAAAAAGAGAGCGAGCAGAGAAAGGAGAGAAAGAGGTAGAGAGACAGAGAGAGTGCGCCCCACTTGATTAACGAACAAAGGAATTCCTTTTCTTACACAAGAGTCTGCCTCATCCAACCAGCCTCAGATATGCTAATCATAGAGTTAGGCCTCTGCTTTTGATGCTTGTGGCCCTTCCTAAAGGTTTGTGGGATCGCTTGTTAGGAGGCGGACGCCGACCACCCTTTGTCACTGTAAATCAGCACAGCTTGGCAAGGCAGAGGAACCAGCTCAGATCAGTAAGTCATAGAGTCAGTCAGTCAGTCTGAGCGTCATGCGTCATTCTCACAGGTCAGTCAGTCAGTCAGTTCAGTGAGTCAGTCGTCACCCTTTGTCAGTCAGTCAGCACAAGTCAGGTCAGTCAGTCAGTCAGTCAGTCAGTCAGTCAGTCAGTCAGTCAGTCAGTCAGTCAGTCAGTCAGTCAGTCAGTCAGTCAGTCAGTCAGTCAGTCAGTCAGTCAGTCAGTCAGTCAGGTAATCAGTCAGTCAGTCAGTCAGTCAGTCAGTCAGTCAGTCAGTCAGTCAGTCAGTCAGTCAGTCAGTCAGTCAGTCAGTCAGTCAGTCAGTCAGTCAGTCAGTCAGTCAGTCAGTCAGTCAGTCAGTCAGTCAGTCAGTCAGTCAGTCAGTCAGTCAGTCAGTCAGTCAGTCAGTCAGTCAGTCAGTCAGTCAGTCAGTCGTCGTCAGTCTGTCTGTCTGTCTGTCGTCGTCTGTCTGTCTGTCGTGTCTGTCTGTCTGTCTGTCTGTCTGTCTGTCTGTCTGTCTGTCTGTCTGTCTGTCTGTCTGTCTGTCTGTCTGTCTGTCTGTCTGTCTGTCTGTCTGTCTGTCTGTCTGTCTGTCTGTCTGTCTGTCTGTCTGTCTGTCTGTCTCTCTCTCTCTGTCTGTCTGTCTGTCTGTCTGTCTGTCTGTCTGTCTCTCTCAAGTTAATAAGCCACAAAACAGCGAGTGGGAATTGAAATCTTGTGCAACCAACAAATCTCACAGACACGTGGATAATTCTAATACAATCAACAAGGCCTGTAGGGCCTGGCAATAAACACTACTGTGTAAGTGAAGTTAGGTTGACAGAGTGGACACCCTCATGAGACGTACGTCTGACATGTTGATGGATAGCCTGGGGGAGGATTGAAGTGGCTGCTTGCTCTGCGTCAGTAACCCACAGAGTTTTAACTAGAGAGGTTTGTAGTTAACATGCCTCCAGGTTGCTTAGTGTGTGTGTGTGTGTGTGTAGACTGGACACAGAAAAGTGCTGAGGGGTTTCCTAGCCTGGCTCAGCTCAGCGGTAGGGTTGTGTTGTGCAGCCTCAGCCTGGGGCATTCCTTGGCTGCTTCGTGGCAACAGCAGCCTGTGGTGACAACCGCCTGTGGTGACAGCAGCCTGTGGTGACAGCCGCCTGTGGTGACAGCAGCCTGTGGTGACAGCAGCCTGTGGTGACAGCCGCCTGTGGTGACAGCAGCCTGTGTATAGCTGCTTTGTGGTGACAGCCGCCTGTGGTGACAGCAGCCTGTGTATAGCTGCTTTGTGGTGACAGCCGCCTGTGTATAGCTGCTTTGTGGTGACAGCCGCCTGTGTATAGCTGCTTTGTGGTGACAGCCGCCTGTGATGACTGCAGCCTGTGGTGACAGCAGCCTGTGTGTAGCTGCTTTGTGGTGACAGCCACCTGTGGTGACAGCTGCCTGTGGTGACATCAGCCTGTGGTGACAGCAGCCTGTGTGTAGCTGTTTTGTGGTGACAGCAGCCTGTGGTAACATCAGCCTGTGGTGTCAGCAGCCTGTGTGTAGCTGTTTTGTGGTGACAGCAGCCTGTGGTGACAGCAGCCTGTGGTGACATCAGCCTGTGGTGTCAGCAGCCTGTGTGTAGCTGTTTTGTGGTGACAGCCGCCTGTGGTGACAGCAGCCTGTGGTGACAGCAGCCTGTGGTGACAGCCGCCTGTGGTGACAGCCGCCTGTGTGTAGCTGTTTTGTGGTGACAGCAGCCTGTGGTGACAGCATCCTGTGGTGACAGCAGCCTGTGGTGACAGCAGCCTGTGTGTAGCTGCTTTGTGGTGACAGCCGCCTGTGGTGACAGCAGCCTGTGTGTAGCTGCTTTGTGGTGACAGCAGCCTGTGTGTGTGGAGGCAGAGCGGCTGGAGATACATTGAGGGAAAAAAGTATTTGATCCCCTGCTGATTTTGTACGTTTGCCCACTGACAAAGACATGACCAGTCTATCATTTTAATGGTAGGTTTAGCACATGTGTTAATGTTAATGAGACAGAATAAATAAAAAAAATCCAGAAAAAATGCATGTCAAAAATGTTATAAATTGATTTGCATTTTAATGAGGGAAATAAGTATTTGACCCCTCTGCAAAACATGACTTAATACTTGGTGGCAAAATCCTTGTTGGCAATCACAGAGGTTAGACGTTTCTTGTAGTTGGCCACCAGGTTTGCACACATCTCAGGAGGGATTTTGTTCCACTCCTCTTTGCAGATATTCTCCAAGTTATTAAGGTTTCAAGGCTGACGTTTGGCAACTCAAACCTTCAGCTCCCTCCACAGATTTTCTATGGGATTAAGGTCTGGAGACTGGCTAGGCCACTCCAGGACCTTAATGTGCTTCTTCTTGAGCCACTCCTTTGTTGCCTTGGCCGTGTGTTTTGGGTCATTGTCATGCTGGAATATCCATCCACGACCCATTTTCAATGCCCTGGCTGAGGGAAGAAGGTTCTCACCCAAGATTTGACAGTACATGGCCCCGTCCATCATCCCTTTGATGCGGTGAAGTTGTCCTGTCCCCTTAGCAGAAAAATACCCCCAAAGCATAATGTTTGTTCTTGGGGTCATAGGCAGCATTCCTCCTCCTCCAAACACGGCGAGTTGAGTTGATGCCAAAGAGCTCAATTTTGGTCTCATCTGACCACAACACTTTCACCCAGTTCTCCTCTGAAACATTCAGATGTTCATTGGCAAACTTCAGACGGCCCTGTATAGGTGCTTTCTTGAACAGGGGGACCTTGCGGGCGCTGCAGGATTTCAGTCCTTCACGGCGTAGTGTGTTACCAATTGTTTTCTTGGTGACTATGGTCCCAGCTGCCTTGAGATCATTGACAAGATCCTCCCGTGTAGTTCTGGGCTGATTCCTCACCGTTCTCATGATCATTGCAACTCCACGAGGTGAGATCTTGCATGGAGCCCCAGGCCGAGGGAGATTGACAGTTATTTTGTGTTTCTTCCATTTGCGAATAATCGCACCAACTGTTGTCACCTTCTCACCAAGCTGCTTGGCGATGGTCTTGTAGCCCATTCCAGCCTTGTGTAGGTCTACAATCTTGTCCCTGACATCCTTGGAGAGCTCTTTGGTCGTGGCCATGGTGGAGAGTTTGGAATCTGATTGATGTATTGCTTCTGTGGACAGGTGTCTTTTATACAGGTAACAAGCTGAGATTAGGAGCACTCCCTTTAAGAGTGTGCTCCTGATCTCAGCTCGTTACCTGTATAAAAGACACCTGGGAGCCACAAATCTTTCTGATTGAGAGGGGGCCAAATACTTATTTCCCTCATTAAAATGCAAATCAATTTATAAAATATTTGACATTTGTTTTTCTGGATTTTTTTGTTGTTATTCTGTCTCTCACTGTTCAAATAAACCTACCATTAAAATTATAGACTGATCATTTCTTTGTCAGTGGGCAAATGTATAAAATCAGCAGGGGGTCTAATAATTTTTTCCCCTCACTGTACATTGTCTTAATTAGGCCAAGATGACACAGGTGCTCCCTGTGTGAGGAAAGAGAGAGAGACTGTCGCCTAC